GAGGAGGAGGGGACGGAGGAGGAGGAGCAGGTCGAGCGTGCCCAAGCGAGGAGGAGGAGTAGGAGGAGGACGACGACGACGACGGTCTGGGAGGGGCGAGCCGCGCGGCGACCTGGCCAGCGGGGCCGTGGTCACGGCGCCGCCGTTCCCAAAGTACTTCAGCACCTCATCCTTCCGAGGTGGGAGCAGCGAGGAACAGAGGCGAAGGAGGAGGAGGAGGAGGGGGAGGTGGAGGAGGACGAGGAGGAGGAGGAGGAGGAGGAGGAGTAGGAGGAGGACCAGTGTAAACCCACGAGCCATCAACGATGTTGGAATACACCCTCACTCCAAACTCCCTCCTCATATGCTCCTACAACAGTTCATTTCCATTGAGGGATTGCCTCGTTGGAACCGTTTGAAGACCCTGAAGCATGCCAAAACATTGCTCTCGGGATGCCAACGCCACGGATCAACCTGATTGCTGCGTCTTGACGATCCTGGATCGTGCCAGAGAGCTACTGTGGCACCCGCAAAATCCTGAATCCGTCCAAAAAGCCATTTCTGGTACGCTGATCATGGGAATCCGTGAAACTCTTCCAAATTTGATGAACGAATGTGCGGGGCGCTACGGCGAGAGTCACATGTTGAAAAGAAACCGCCCTCAATCCGCGAAACCCTTGCGTGGTTTCAGAACGAATGTGCGCTGTTGCCAATGCTTAAGCTTCAGGGTCACACGTGGTGAAAACCATCTCATGCGAAACGCCCGGCCCGCCCTAAAAACTGGCCTCGGGGTGCGACAGGGAGAAATTAGTTGAGGAGGACGAGGAGGAGGTGGAGAAGGAGGAGAATGAGGGGTAGGAGCACTGGGAGAAGGGGATGTTTAAGATTTCGGAGGATTGGTATGAGAAGGAGAACGAAGAAAGCGCGAAGGAAGAGGAGGAGACGAGGGCTCCAGCGTTAGGCACCTAACATTCTTCATAGTGAGGGTTTCGGGAGGACGAGGAGGAGGAGGAAGAGGAAGAGGAAAAGGAGGAGAACCCCCCCACCCAGAACGCTGCAATCCGTGGATTCAAATTGGCGCAACGTCACAAAAAGGGACCCCACCGCTGAGCAGGAGGAATGTGTTTGAGCGGTGTTGGTGACTGTTGGGCGGACGCGTCTTCGACCCTTTGCGCTCCTGTTCGAATGTGCAAAAAGTTTCTGAGCACACCTGAAGGCCTCGGAGGCCTGCGGCCCCTGTCTGGGAACGTCCGGAGGCGTGAAAAACAAAAAGGAGGATCGAGATTGATCGAAGTGCCGCTGCCAGCAAAAAAAAACGTGGGCCTCCTGGCCTCTGGCGGCCTACGGGGACGACCCCGGGATCCTCGCGGAGCTTCCAAAGGACACCCCCAGGACGACCCGCACCCCCGCAGGCCGTGAACTGAGAAACACGGCGGGCGTCCCTGCCACGTGCCAGGCCCCCTCGCGGCTCAGCACGGCCAGCAAGCATGCCTGAAGATGGGGCCGGTAAATCCGGCCACGATGCTCTCAAGATAATGCGATGTGCCATTTGACCACGTCGGACTCCGGAGGAGGTAGGGGGCGAAGGAGGAGGGGAGGAAGAGGGTTCCTTGTCCACGGCGACGACGAGGGGCCCCCTTGCTCACCCAGAGCCTCATGAGGAACCCCAGGTCCAGGGGCGCTCTCTTACCACAGGATTTCGAGGTGGACTTAGTTGGCCGTCGCCACGAGGTCGCCCCCATAGGCAAAACAAAAAGGCCCCACAAAACACCTTGAACCTCGATCCTAAATCGACGATTCTCTCCGCGGACCGCCCTTTGATGGTCTTGCGGCCCCGAAGCTGCCTCTGGAGGCCGAAGCTGGCGAGCACACAAGAACGAGAGGAGAAGGCATGACGAGGAGAAGGAAAAGGGAGAAAAAGGGGGAGGAGGAGAGGAAGAAGAAAGAAAGGGAAGAGGGCGGGAGGAAAGGAGGGAGGGAGGAGAAGGAAGAGGAGAAAGGGAGGGATCGCACGTAGCTTGGCGAGCCACGCGTCTTTCTCAGGCCGCGAGCGAACGGGCACCTGCAGCCAGCACCTCGAGGTGCACGTTATAATGTGAAGGAGGTGCCGATCCAGATGGCCGGACCCTCAGTTGATAGTAAAGTTTGAAAGCGAGGGCGATGAGGAAGACAGAACGGTCCCGTGAGATCTCCCCCGCAGACTCGGACTCCTCGCCCAGGCAAAGCCGTGTGATGACGCAGTTGGGAAAGAAGGAGTGGGGTAAGGCGACGAGGTGAAGCAGGCGAGGGCAGGAAGAGGTGGTGTGATATTCAACCAGGCATAGTCTCACACCCGAAGACACACCCGCTGGCCCAGAATGCGCATTCTGTGGGAGGTGATCCACCCGCCCGCCAGGGTTTTGAGCACCGACCAGAAAATGGTGGGGCGGGACAGAGCCAGGATGGCTCTTAGGGCGGGCCAGCGCGGGGCCAGGGGGGCACGTGAATCTCAGGATGCCACCCTCGCACGCGCTTCTGCAGCGTCAGGGTATAGCTATCGGGTGAGTGAGCGAGTATACACCCCCGGGAGCTTGAGCTCTTTTGAAGAACCTCGGCATGGGCGGCTGCTCGGGAGGCCCCGGCAGCAGCGTTGCGCCGGGGGGCCGAAGGGACCTTCGGGAGCGCGACCGAACGCGTGCGACCGCGCAAGAATTGCACGATGGCGCGTTGGTCGCGCCAGAAGGGTGGGTCCCAGAGCTCCCGGACGCACGGCGCGAGCGCGTGGCCCGCCAACGACGCCTCAGAGAGCTCGGTGCGCCAGACATCATATTGTGGGATCGTCGCGCGGGCCGTGCGCCAGCTCGCTGCCGCCGCGCATGCGGCGAGAGCTTGCGGGGGAGCTCCTGGGGCCGGCCAGAGATCGGGGCCCGTTGATGAGCTGGGCGGCAACTTCAGCAGCTAGCGCAGACAGCGCGGCTCCATCGCGAGCTGCGGCCGAGGAGGCGGGCAGAACGGGGGCGCGCGGCCCACGGCGGGGAGAATCGCGCCTCGGCAGAGACGGAGCGAGGCGCCAGGAGGCGGGTCGGAGGCCAAGGTCTTGAGGATTCTCTCCCAGCACTTCTGCGTGCAGGCTGCCCGCTGCTAGGCATTGGTGGCATCGGGCCCTGTAAACACTCCTAGGTCTTTGGCGGAACCCGCCATCGCGAAGATTTCCACTCGGGGGGGGGGAGGGGCGGCGCGAGGAACCGCTCGCACATCCTCGATCGCATCTGGAGCGCACTCTGCCCACAACGGCACTAGCACACACTTGATGGGATGACGTTGGAGAGAGGCGAGGCTCGGCGCGGAGGCGAAGCCGGGGTAGAGGCGAGCGAGGTACACCAGCTTCGAAAGGACTGCTCCTAGGTCGTCCGCGCAGCCGCCGAGCGAGCCGTCGCGAGGGTCGGCAGGGCGCGCGATCTCCACCGATCTGATGGTGGGGCCCATGCCGAATGCCCAGACGCACCCACTAAGCGGGCACCCTTGCATCACTCCCGAATGGTTCAGCAGCAGCGGCGCGACCTCGTCGCGAATGCGGGTAGAGGCCAGGGCGAAGGCGCACCTGCCTCTAACCGCGGCCAGGTGCCCAGGGGGAGGCCCATTCGTTCAGGGGCCGCGACGAGCCACGCGCGATTCACGCTGGGAAACGCAGCCTCGATATCGAATGCCACGACAAGGGGCATCCGACAGTCAGCGTCCTCGTAAAATCCGACCGCTCGGGCACGAGCGCCGAGCTTGGCTATGTCATGGTCGGAATTGCGGCCTTCGATGAAACCCTGTCGGATTGCGTGCGCTAGCTCTTGCCCACCCTTCGATGGCGGGACATTGATTGCTGGCGCCGTAGCCATGATAACGGTCGCACTGCTGGTGCATCGCGGAGGCATTCGAGCGCACCGCCGATCTTGTCACCTTTCGGCGGGCAAACAAACATTGAGCGGTTCAGGGTTGGAGGGGCAAGCAGGGAACTGAAGAGGCGAGGGAAGACGGGGTAGAGACGGTGAATGGTGGCTGGGGCGGCCAGCCAGGCCTGGCACGCAGGGCGATCTGGACCAGGCGCCGAATTCCGCCCTCGCCTAAAAGCTTGAATGAGGGCATCCTTGGAAGGAATCGGCAAGTCAGCAACTGGGAACGCAGGCGAAATTTTCTCTAAGAAAGCATCGGCTCCAGCCCGTGAAACGCGTTTGTCCGAGAAAATCGGGGGCCAGTGGAGCCGAAGCGCACGGGCGCCGTCTTCTGGCTCTCTGGCCGCCGGTGGGAGCGCGGAGCCCCCACCGATGTCGCTCGGGTTTTGAACAATCTGACTGGGCGTGATACCGCGCAAGGCAAGACGCTTTGAAAATGGCGCCCAGAGCGCCGCCCGACGCTGGAGGGCGCGCTGGGCGCGGCGCTGCTCCTCGTGGGATGGCTGGTCCTGCGCGCGAGCCGCGCGAGCAGCCGCAGGGCGCTGGAACCGCTCGCACAACGTTTGGTTACTGCGCACAACAGCATTTTGAAACTCAGCCGCGTCACGCAGCTGCGGGGAAGGCCCCGGCGCGTCCAAAAACATGTCGCCACAAGCTCTGCGGCAGCGGCAAGTTGGCGAGCTGCGGCGAGGCCAGAGCGCAAGATGGCGCGCGCAATGGCACGGAGCGCAAGCCGCCTTCCCTCCAGCGCGTTGACGTCGCAGCTCGTTGCGCGCAAGCCCGGCCGCCGGGGGCATGATCTGTTTCGTGGCATCGAGGCGCCGCAGGTCGATCATCGCGCCCAGTTCAGCATCCATCAGCATCTTGGCGAGTAGTGTCTCGTACTGCTTGGAGCGGTGGAAGAAGTCAGGGGCGAGGCGCTGGTCCTTCACGGGCGGCTCGCGATTCTCGGTCGCGAGCTTGATCGCGGCATGATCGCTGGGCCGCCTGTCCGATAATCTCGCCGCGTCCTGGGCGACGTCGAGCTGGCAGCGAAGGCGAGGGGCGAGAGCGGGCGGAATGGTAAGGAGGGCGCTGTCAATCGCGGTGTCCGCCGGGTGCTGCCTGGAGAGGTAGGTCGGCATCTGAGAGCTGAATTCCACCGCGCTCGCGCGGGCCAGCTGCCGCCAGACATGTAAATTCTGCTAGAACGGCCCTCTCGCGCCCGATGTCGCCGCCGAGCTCGCGGCGCGAGGCGCGACTGCGAGGGCGCGCCGGAGACGCCGAAGCCCC